CTCTATTTCCTTTTGCATCTTTGAGGGCATTGATGCCTTTGGTAACTCTTGTTATCATGGCTGGTAAAGTTGTCTGTCATAAGTTAATCCCAGGTACTTCTTGGTTTCTCCCAAAGAAACAGCAGTAACCATAAAGGATGGTGATAGTTTGACCTCATCAGCACGTCTGTTGTTAAGTGTACAGAACATGGCTGTGGATTTGGCAGGATCATCACCATTCCTATATCATTGTGCAATTTTTCAAACCTACTAAGGGATGGTTACATCTTGTATTCGATTTCAGCATTGCTAAAGCCTTTAATGTGCATTAAAATGTTGCCAGCAAAGTTTATTACAGGTCATCTGGTTGGAATGACAAGGATGGCTATGTCTGTGATGTAGATGTTGCAGAAGACTGGAAAGAGTGGTGATCCTTGAGGGAAATAAGTGTCCATAGTGATCCCGCCTGATTGCCAACTTCGATGCTTCCTGATGCATCTTCAGGTAGTTGGTGCAAACTCATCTTACAAATGTTATACTGATGCTTATTCTGAGCATTTTATCAGTAAAAATGGCAGCTGGATTCTATAGTAGGCATTTTTAATTTTTTTATTACAGATCTACAACTACTTCCAAGGTGTTCTGACCAGCTTCTAAACTTTCCCATGTATTCTGCAGCATTGATCCAGGTTTCTCCTCCACCGTACTGATCATTCAATGATGATGCTAGTTGTAATTCAAGCCTTCTAGCTTTAGCCTTCTCTGGGATCTTGCCAATGATGTTTTGTAAAACAATGATTTCATGGCCTTTAAAACAAGAGTGATATTTCATGGGTTTGGGTAAGGATTTCACAAAAGTATCAGTCCATATTTGAAGAATACTACCTGTTCCTCAGCTATATTGATACTAACATTAACTTCAATAGGTTGGCTTCAGACCAAGAGTTCCATCTTTAGATGCATTTATGGCTCTGTGTATCTCATCCAAGCTAAAGATGGCTTCCATATTCACATGTATTTGTAGCTCAGATAGAGACTACTGTAGCTTAAGCTTCTTCTGCATGTCACCATGGTCACATGTGCATATAGGCCTTGCCTTGGTCTTTGTCTGTATGGAGTGGGGTACCACAATTATATTAAATAATGGCTATCATGATGTTTTCAATTCCTCTGCCAATAATAAACTTGTGAAAACACCAAAATAAGTACCTGTGAGATTGGCCTTGCTGCAAAATTTAGTCCATTTCATGTCAGGTGCTTTAAAAGCTGATCATCTGTAGAGAGCACAGGCTCTATTCTATGCAATCCTTGTCTCTTCTGCACGGGCTGGGTCATGTTTTACCTGCATGAACTCACCCTGAGCTTGATTGCATGCTTACCATGCTTTATCAGTATCTTATAGACTAGAGGGAAAGCAGCCAATCAACAGCTTCTCTTGGTTGGTTAAACAATGAGATCTAACCATCACTCTTTAAAGTGCACTCATGATCCTAAAGCATGGGGACTTGTTTCTGCAGCAACAGCCTGGGAGCCACAAATCTTTAGATTCACAGTCCAAGAACGATAACCATCAGGGCACACCCAGCTCAAATTTTCAAGTTAAATCACACACGTACATATACAAAAATAATGATAGTTCTGAAAGAAAAATATGCAAGGTAAAAACCATATGCTACATAGTAATATTTCAATAATTTTAAAAATTATGTAGGAACAAAAATAATATATATATAGCACAATTACCTTTCACATAAAATAAACCACTTCTGTAGAAATTAGCAGTTTATGTTTTGGACTTAACAAATAAAAAAGTATTTAAAACTAGTTAGAAAATATTAGCAACAGGTTACTGTGAAATCACTAATAGTCTAACTATAATTATACCAAAGAATTTAAGACAATAAGGCCAAACACACATACATTCACAAAACAGTTGCTCATAAAAGACAAAAAAAAACAATATGGTTCAAATTACAACTGGTAGGGATAAAGTGTTTACCTGAATTATATATGGAAAGGAAAGAGAAAAAAAAAGAAGAGAGAGAGAGAGGAGATATGGGTGTTCACGCCCACATCTGAAACTATCACTCACTATCTGGGTGTAGGTCCTATTTTGCATATACCAATTAATAAGGTGCATTTTACTTGTTTCACATTATAGTTAAGTTTTATTTTCTGTCTTTTAAGTGTGATACTTTGTGTTTTATATCATCAAATGTAAGAAGGTGCTACATTGTCTTTCCTTTAGATATCAGAATTAACATGACTGTTATGTGATCTTTGTAAATATACATAAGTAAATTCACACTAAATTAGTACAAAAAAACACATATAGAAACGTTGTTAAAAGCAAAAATATATTAAAAATGTGGATTTTATTGATTTTAATATATTTATTCATTTAATAACATTGCCGTGTGTGTTATTTTGTATTGTTTTCACATTCATTGATACGCATATTTAATCAAAATCCATCATTAGTTTTAAGCAATTAATGGTGTATTTACATTTTTACACAATTAATATTTTCATTCAAATACCCTGTATTTTTTTACTTGTTTAATGACTCTTCAAACAAATATATTGTCTAAGTCTGGAATTTTAAAAGCTCTAAAAGTCACAAAATCTATGTTGTATACTTTTCTTTATACATTTTATAAACATCCAAGAGCGATCTGAATAAACTACTGATCATGCGTAGAGTCTGGAGTAATACGTTTTATCTAAAACATAAACACTATTGGTAGGTTGGGAACTGTTTTCTAGTCTAGAAATATAATACATAGTAAAATTACATTTATACTATGCTTGCTCTGCTCCTCATGAAGCTATAGGCAGGTGATCTTCTGCCCACTATATGGTACTTGTGTCAGATGACAATGGGGGTTTAACTCTTTCAGCATGTGCTTGGTCCCTGGGACTGACCTCGTAACCATTTTGTGCTTGTTATAATTTTCATGCTACAACTTTTAAATTAGTAAGCATATGTTCACAAAATTTGGCAGATTATCAGTAAACATTACAAGGCTTTCATACACAAAATATCAGATTTTTTCATTAAGTCTTAAGGTTTGTTAAGCAATGTTTTTCTCATGCCTTTTTTCTTTTCACATGTTGCCTATCCAACATGTAAAGTTTTCATTTTAAGATTAAAAATACTTTTTATACATCAGAAAAATTTCAAATTTCACACACAAAATATTTTTAATGTCCAAATAGTTATCAAACGTTTCTTAGGAAAAAAAACTATATTTTATCTGTTATTTTCACTAACAAATCTCTGTACGGGTTTGGTCGATTTGACCGATCTTGTAACCAATATAAAAAATTAGGAAATAAATATAAATTATGCCTTTTTCGTTCTAGAATGACTACAAATTATAACACAAAAATACAAATGTTTAGACTAAATAGTTTAAATCTCATAACATTATACATTTGTATATATTTATTATTTTTTATTATACTGACCTTTCAGCTCTGCCTGGCTAACAATACAGAAGTTACAATGATGCGTCACACATGCACTCATGTTACTGTATCCAATAATATAAAACTGACCTTTAGTCTTTACAAAATGACCTGTCTTGCCTGTGTTTTAATGGACTCTGCTGTACCGTACATCCGCCTTTGGCCCGTACAGCAGGACTTTGTGTAGCTCACGAAAAGTTAATAGAAGATTGTTTATAAACGGTTCCTGATACGAAA